AGATCGCCTTCTTTAATAATGCATAATTTCCCATTAAAAACCTCTCAGACCAGGACATTGCAATGTTTTGCTTGTATATTTGCAACTTCAACAGAAATGTCTATTTAGAAAGATACGTTTTAGTAGAAAAGCTCAAAAGTAAAAACTGATGTTTCTTGAATGATTTTATTTGCACTACTTGTGCTCCTTTATTGTAGCTTATGTTGGTTTATTAACTCGGATCTCTCCATTTACCACACCATGTCAGACGTCTCCACGATAATCACCTGCACCTCTACCATTCGTCATCAGTCTTCCCACTCTGAGATGCTCTGTTCAGTCATTACTGGGATCTCCAACCTCTCTCAGCTCTGCACTGAGCTCATCCTCCTCCTAGAGCTCATATCCTCCTCACTGCTCTGTCCACCACACATACTGCAAACATGCTTCCAACATAGGTGAGACCCCCACGCTTTAACTCATACAGCCAAATGTTGCGCTCCAAGTCATTGCAGGAGTTTTATGGCAACTGCTCTTGAAGAACTTTTTAAATTGGATTAAGCAAGCTGTTCCAAAATAATAATAATAATAATAATAATAATAATAAAGAATAAAATTATGAATTTATCAATTACAAATGTGAAAACAGTGCTTGATAGGATAAGTTGGGACTGTTTTTGATATTTTATAAAGCTACATCATCAAGTGTTTTAGTATAAAATGCTTTCCTTTTCTTGATAAGTTTATCTATTTCCACTGTAGATGTGTTTAAGGATTAAGCAGTCAGCAGTATAAACTCTCATATCTAAATGTCTTGCATTCGGATCACGTTAGACGGTTGGCCCTTTCCTTTTTGTGTTTAACTTGGGAAGAGACACATCAATACTTAAGGCTAAGAAGCCCTGATCATTTTCCCCTAAATCAAATTTTTGCTACAGTTCTGTCCAGGGCTTTAGTTTTATGTCTCCAGATCAATTCTGCCTTTTCTTCAAAGCATGAATGAATGTCTAGCCAAGGTAATCTGTCCTGTCTTCACTCTGTTAAGCCCGCTCTTTGTCTTGTGGTGCCACTGTTATAGATGTCTCCTTCCTGGCTGCTGTTGAGGCTCGCAGAAATCTTTGGAAAAGAGAAACTGTCAGAAAACATCTCTGTTGCTGCAGTCAGACCTGCTGTGTCATTTATTGCCTATTTTTTTTCTCTCTTTTACCTCCTGGAATTGAAATTGTGAGCGAAGTTTTATGAAATACCAAAAATACAAACAAAAGTTGGATTACAAATTCTAGTACCTACATGTCTTCTATAGTCAGGGTATGGCTTAGGAAGATTTGCAGAAATTAAATAAAAAAACGCTTTTTAAAAACTGTTAAAAATAACATGTTTGAAAAATAATTATTAATTAAAACCATGCACAAAACCCCCAAAAGAAAATCACCTTCAAGCGTGTAAAAAAACAAATACCCAAATCTCAAGAATTCATCCATCCATCGTCTGCCGCTTTATCCGGGGTCGGGTCGCGGGGGGGAGGCCCAGACTTCCCTCTCCCCAGCCACTTCTTCCTGCTCCTCTGGGGGAATCCCAGAGGAGCTGGCCAGCTGGGAGATCTCGTTCTTTCGAGATCTCCCAGCTTTCGGTCATGACCCAAAGCTCATGACCATAGATGAGGGTAGGAATACAGATCGACCGGTAAATCCAGAGCTTCGGTTTTTGGCTCAGCTCTCTCTTCACCACAATGGACTGGTACCGGGTCCACTTCACAGCAGACGCTGCGCCAATCCGCCTGTCGACCTCCCGCTCCCTTCTTCCTTCATTCATGAACAAGATCCCAAGATACTTGAACTCCTCCACTTGGGGCAGGACTCCCCCCTTGACCCGGAGAATGTACGCTATCCTTGGCCTCGGATTTGGAGGCACTGATCCTTATCCTGGACGCTTTAGCGAGAGCTCCAGATCACGTCCTGACAAAGCCAATGGGTCCACGTCATCCGCAAAAATCAGAGATGCGATCCTAAGACCACCAAAACGGATCCCCTAGAAATTCTGTACATGAATGTTATGAACAGAATCGGTGACAAAAGGCAGCCCTGGCGGAGTCCAACCGGAAACTCCGACCGGAAACGAGCCCAACTTATTGCCGGCCATGCGGATTAGACTCTGACACCGGTCATACAAGGACCTGACAGCACATATCAAAGGGCACCTCAAGAATCATTAGTTAAAAATCTATGATTCAATCTCTTAAGCTACTTTTAGAAAAGTACATTTTTTTTACATTTTGAGAAGTTTACATACATTTTCTTAGTGTATATATAAGAATCATTCCCACACCCACAAGTCACAACAATCCCGTTCAAAGCTCAAAAAGCATAATGTGTCAGAATGCTCAGAAAGCTAAGTAACAAACAAAGTTTACAAACCCTTGTGAACATCTTTCTGTGCCTTAATTGATCTGAACGTTGGCTCATCAGACATGACTGGCAGACAAGACATTTTTTTAAATGATTTTGACAAGCAGCGATACATTAAATGACAAAACAAAGTTCTTTTTTCCTTTTTATAAATGACATAGTCAAAAATAGATCGTATTTGGGTCCTACTGGTTTTGCGTTTCTTATGAGTTTAGCTCCCAGTGTTTTCCTGTGGATGAATAAGCTCAAGCTAGATCACCACTCTTTCTACTTAAACACTTTTTCCCCCCTCCCGTACATGACAAACAGGAGATAAAAGAAGCAGGCATTTCTGTTCTTTTCTTTTATCTTGAAGGTGGTTCAGATATTCTTTCTAGTTTGTCCCATTAACTTTCCTCTGCTGTTGTCTGTCAGAGCTAACGTTGATGGGATCTGATGTGCTTCAATTCCTGGCCAAAAGACACAAGAGGAAACAGTTTTCTTCTCATCCACCAAGTCTTTGACAATAAATCCTGACACTGATTATGATCTGTGTATTATCTGCATTACATATAAGCAGTGGGTCATGTAAGGATGACTTGATATGTTCTGGTGTGCAGAACCTTTAAATTTTTAAACCCTTTTCCTTTGTTGGATTTGTAATTTTTTGGGGCGTGTCTTCAATTTCAAGAACTGAGGGCTGATCATTGATGACATTTTTTTATTTGTGTGTTTTTCCTTGCAGATTGAAAAGCAAATACAGTCTGACTAGCCTCAGCATGGGTTCCTTCTAATCTTTTCCTTCAAGGCAAGTGGCGTGGCAATCAATCAACAGCAGCAGTCGTGCTCTCCTTTTCACTGATGGAATATTGACAAATGATGGCTTTTGAAATGAGCGATGGATAACCCGAAAGGCACTAAATCTATGAACACACTTGTTAGCTGTCCATGTCATTCAATGTCAAACGCTTCACTGTAGAAAAAAATTCCTACAAACAGCACGTCCATCGCATTGTATAGCAGCTCCGCAGACATTATTAACGAGTGTGCACCAAGTGGCCACTTTATGAGCTACTGCCTTTTTAAAGTTCAAGCCCACTGTCACTAGATCTCGATCCAATAGAGCATCTTTGGGATGAGGTGAAATGGGAAGTATGCATCATGCAGAGCTGACAGATCTGCAACAACTGCTAACCCTGTCGATATGGACTCAAATCTCAGAGAAATGTTTCAGACACATTGCTGAATCTATCCCGTGGAGAAATAAGGCTGTTCTTAAACATCCAACAAAACTGCCCTACAGGTGTTATTTCTTTTCTCTCTCTTTTTGGAAAACAGCTCCCTGCTGTTAAAAAACGTTAATGACCGCAGTGAAACCGGGCGAGGTTGTGAGAGTCATGTTGAAACCTATAAACAGATAACTTAGTGGCTTTCAGTTTTGTTGGCATGTCGTACCTTAAAATTTGGATCCATTTCTGAATGTTACTTCAACTTTTTGTACACAACCAATATGATGAAATACACATAGTGAATGGCTAGGAGGAAAGTAAGGATTAACTTCATGCCAGCATGTCCAAACAGAGAATGTTGCCAGAATGGATAAAAAAAAAACTCCTAGCTGAGCTCAGATTATTCCGCTTTGCTATGCTTTCCTGTGGCATTCGGCTCCATCCTGCACTCCATATTGCTTCCTAACTCCATTTACTGTTCTACAATTCCTTTTCTAATTTTCCCTCTTCTTCTCCCTTTATTGTCAATGACTAAGGTTTTAATGATTACATCTGGTGGTGCCACAAATTAATTCCTGCCTCTCTGGCAAAAAGCAGCTCTCCACCTGATTATGCAAAGCAGGCCTACATTCGCTGCCTTTGAAGTGGAGGAAAAGCTGCTTAGAGATTCTCCCCTTGAGGAAACGCAGCAATATGGGCACCATCAACAAACCAGGGTTCACTCAAAGGTCAGCAAAATAGTTAACCCCAATGAAGGTTGGCGATTTGAATTGGTGTTGCCGTTTTCGTGGTGTAATGGTGCTGCTGTTTCAGACAAGAGTCCCTTTTCAATGAAAAAAAAAAAAAACTGGAAAAGTAAAGAAAAACTGGGGCAGTCCACAAAAATAGCCATATAAGTGCAGCAAATATTGCTTGTATCTATATGACCAAAAGGAAGCAGTGGATGAGGCTGTTATGAAGCTCTTGCAGCTTTCTTATTTCAGCAATCATCTCTACGACTGTGTCTCACGGGGATTTGCTCTCAAACACCAGCCCTGTATATTTGAGTGCAGAGTTTCCACACAACTCTACCTACGCAACAGCACACTTTCTCGTCCTGAGACGCTCAGGATGTGAACTACATGCATTTACCTTAAATGCACCTTTGCCTCAGACCTGAGCAATTACAGTCTAATGAAAAGCTGCAACGCTGCGATGAAACTGTGTCTACTTTTTGCTCAAGCATGACTCAAGTGCAGTCCTTCAACTTAATAACCCACAAGAGATGATACGATCGTCTCTCCGCTGCACTGAGAGGAGGTACAGTGTAATAACAAACCTGACAGATGTAAGATTACCGACAGGGAAAATTAAAACCTGTGTTCATTCAGACAAGAGCAGGGAAAAGAAACAGATAATCTTTGTGACATTTCTATTTATACTGATTTATTTTAAACATACACCTTCGCGAGACATTCTTTATGCCACTTTTCAGTTTTTGCAATAAAAATAGCTTGTTGTTTCTTAAAGATGTTCCGTAGGTCACAATATATAGAAATGCTGAGATGATATTTAGGTTTCCCCTATGTGGAATGACTCCTGAGGGAGGATGCCAGTCGGTGAGTTTTGCAGCCACTCTATGAATAAACATTAACATTACATTGTTGTAACTAACAGAACTTTTTTCACATAGAAGATTTATATTCCAGGTACAAGGGAGAGCCTGAAGGCCAGAAAATAAAGGAAATGAGTATAAAGCGCCTTCATGAAGATAAATCATCACAGAATGGGGCTAGTATGTCTTCTTCCTTCACATTCAGCTGTGTCTGAAATTTGGAGAAGGTTCAAGCAAAAATGTTCATCACATCTTACAATCCATGAAAAGAGCCTTTTTTAAGGCAGAAACGGAAAAAGAAATGGTGCACAGCAAGAGTCCTTCCTGGAAAACTCATATCTCAATTGTTATTAAAGAAAAAGTTTTCTATAAATATATATGAAAAAGGCTTTCTTCTAACTATCCATGACTTTTCAACATGTAGATATCTACTCTTCTGTGGATCAGACTGGATGACAAACAATTGAGCTTTAATGTTCCACAACTAAAACAATCCTAATAACCTTAATTAGAATTTTCTGCTGCATTATGGGTAAAATCAGCTCTGTTGCCGTCACACGATCATTTGCTACATCTTGATTTTAAACACCAATTATTAGCATTCAGCAAACACAAATCTGTCTGATGAAGATTGCGGGAGGTATGAATGTGAGATGAGAGCCATGTTTGCTTTTCATTTGCTGCTTAAATGTAAAATCTCACACAGCACTCTGAGACAGATGAACTTTGATTACACAGTGTTCCTTACCTTAGAAACTTTATAAAACCTTTATGCTCTGATGTGTTTACATCTGAATATCTAAACTCTTTGCATAGTTTTGTGCTAAAAGACGTTCTGGAATTGATGCAGGACTTGGAGAAGTAGCATTTCACCTATCTGCTTTGTTCTGGAGGTCAGACTCTATCTCTGTTTTCTAATTCGAGACAAAAACATTGGCCCCCAGGTCTTGCCAGGCTGGGGAACCACCAGAATGCCGAGCTTATGATGAGAAGTGGCTGCAGAGCCAATCAGTGGATGCAGGAGCGACTTGGACTCTGTCTGTTTCTGACCAGGGAGAGGAATAACGGCAAAGTATTTTGACAGAGGCAAAGCGATTTCTTCCCACAGATTTTCAACTTCAGCATTAGGGAAGTCTTTCAGCACCACCTCAACTACAGCGCAGTTCTCCAAGCTTGACAGTGTGCAGGTTGAGTAGACGACAACACCCCCCGGACGCACTGCAGATATAGCGGACCTATAGGAGGCAGACAAACAGCGTTTCATTTCTTTTTTTATCACACTGTATCGATTGTACACAGTACAAAACTGTTATGTTTCAGCTGCTTTGAAGGAGCAGTACACCTCGCAGGTGTTTTTCTATGTCTGATGTTATTGGGTTCACCTTAGAAGCTGAGTCTGTAGCTCCGGCAGCCTGGCTCTGTCTTCTAGTCTCTGTTGCCCCTGGAGTTTGTCGCTAGAATGCAACCAGCTCCTGTCATTAGAACAAGGAGCATCAACTAAAACCTGGGACAACATGAAATATGGACAGTTCAGAGTCACAGTCATACTTTAGACAAATAACAACAAGAACAAAGTATCAAGTAATGTTTGAAAACACAAATTTATCATTAGATGTGATAAAACAGGTTATTTTTTTCCCAATTATTTCATATTGTTAATAAAGTAGAACTTAGTGTTGGCCAAAAGGGAGGAGGAAAGTCAGTGGACTCCGAGTCCTAGCTTGGAAAAGTCTGGAAGGTTACATCAGAAAAGAAACTTATAGATCACAAAGGACAAAATTAGAGAGGAAAGGCTGAAATAGTTTGGACATGTGCAGAAGAAAGGTAGATCTGGTGGACAAAGGACATTGGAAATGGAGCTGGCTTGGAAGAGGAAAAAAAAAAAGAAGAAAGGTAGCTGTGACAGAGGAGAATGTTAAGGACAGGGTGAATAATCTGCTGGGGAGACCTCTAAAGGAAGCAGCCAGGGAGAAAATGACAGCACTGTTGGCTAAAAACTGTGAAGGCAGCCACTCTTTAAAGGTAATCATTTTTCTGTTTTAGTTCAGTAACAAAAACAAAAAAATGAAAACACTCAGAAGACACAAAACTCTTCAAAACAATTGTTCTCAGTGAAACATACTTAAAAACAATTACATTTCAAAGAATCAATTATACAAAAAAGAATACAGAAGTATACATATGAAAAAAATAGCTCTCTAAATATAGAAATAGACAATGATTGAAAAAAGATTCAATAAGCTTGAGAACATTTGAGACTTTCTTGTAGTTTTACCTTTATTTTTTTTTCCTCTCTTGAGAAAAGTCTGTTAACTGATGCATTGCTCAGTAGCAATATTGATTTCTTTCAGTATAATCCAGGGCAATCCCTGAATTTTATAAGCCTGATTTGAATTGATAAAATAAGTAAAAATAGCTTAAAATACAATAATGTTCCCATGGATTTTTATATATCTTCAGATCCTTTGCCGGATATGTATTCCTTTTTTTTTTTCTGGTAGTATTACTCAGCTTGTCATTATATATTTCATTCAATCTGAAACAAACTGCCTCTTTTCTTAATCTAGATATTTAATGCAAATATGGATAATATTAACTTATCCATATTTGTGATATAGGCTTGTTTTTCTGTTTTGGTGTTAATAGTGTATTTGTCTGCATTTTCTATACAAGCACATTAAGGTCCAAACACCACTTGCATCCACCTTTTGCATTCTGATGCCACTCTCCATCAACGCACCAACAGACTCGTAAGAGCAAGTAAGTTTATACCAGAAAGTTCACCAGTGTAAACCTAAACGTAATAAAGAGTGTTGACATTACTGTGCATATTATCTGGCCTGATTTCCCCTTGGATCTGACACCAAAATAGATCCGGATCCGGTGTGTTTTAGCCCTGTTTCAGCTTTCAGTTTTCCAACTCTTGCATTTTAATATCTTCCTTCTGTTTAGCTGCAGGGTTCCCTTTGCTATGCTTATTGATTCAACCCATGCTTTCTGTGGATCAACTATCTGCAGCAGCTCTTAAAAGTCTTTTTGCAGAATTTATGAATTTATGGTTGAGGGTGTAAATATGAGTTTTCTCTAAATGACAGAAAATTAACTCAATAATTTATTTTATTGGCTACGTATGAGGCATTTTTTACAAAGCATGTATCCTCACATGATTAAACCAAATTTAGTTTGATATCACTCTCTATATTTTTCACATATATATATATATATATATATATATATATATATAATATATATATATATATATATATATATATATATATATATATTCCTTTTTTTATATATATATATATATGTATATATACATATATATATATATATATATATATATATATATATATATATATATATATATATATATATATATATATATATATATATATATATACTTTTCTTATATGATTTACACACGTTAACTTACAATAACTTAACCTCCAAACGTGACTTTAGAATCATTCCACAAATTGTACCAAGAATCCTGTATCTGCATTAAAACACAGCAGCACAATCTGTCACTTTTACCTTTCAGATGGGTAAAAGTAGGCCTTTTCATTCTCTGCTCTCCCTTTTTTTATGATGCTGCTCCATTCTCTGCCACTTCCTTGCAACCATTGTCTACCTCGTCTCAATTTCTGTTTTGAATAAATGCTTTTCTTCTTTTTCTGGGGGGTTTATTAGCTGCTGTTCAAAGGCTCGCTGCTTTCATTGATTCGTTACAATGGAATTGGAAAACAAAAAGTGTATCACCCTAATTTGTTGGATGCGGAAAGAAAATGCAATTACCAGTGGCTATGAACACGTCAGGTGTACTTTGCTCACCTTGTCATAAAAACCGGCTTCGCTTTGCCCAACGAAGCGGCCGTCCTGTGCAGACACCATCACTCTGCTGCTCAGGGAGGGAGGCAGAAAGGACTCCAGGGTTTTGGCCAGCCAGTCCCGTCTGTGAGAATCTGGCTCATTACAGCAGAGAAGAGCTGCAACATAAAACAGGAAGAATTAGTGATTACCGGTAGTTAATAGGATAGGAAACAAGTAGATCATTACAGAAGCATTAGGGGTTTTGTGAAAGGCTCTTGTTGTAAACACTTCAAATAAAACACAGGAATCAGGATTTTCTTGCATTTAATTGGTAATAAATAAGCTCTAAACATGATCATTTTTCAGCAACAATCCATTTTTATTTTAAGAATTAATCAGTGCAGATAATAATGCACAAACCTTTTTTACTTCTACATATTAATCTCTTTTGATTGCAGTCCTGCCAACTCTGGTCCATGATATAATGAAACTCGTGTCATGGCTTCTTGTTTACCTGGAGTTGCACTTTGCATTATGGCGACAGCTTTGCCTCCGGGGGCAGAGCACAAATCCAAAACCTTATCACCATCTCTCACTTGCAAAGCCAGCACTGGAAGAAGCGAGGCAGCATTCAGGAGGTAGTACTGCTTCAGCTGGCCCGGCCGGTGGGCCTGTGAGGGAAATCGCAGGGGGTGTGGGTGGATGTAACATTGTAATGAGGAAGAAGGAAATATGGGTGGACGCTGAGACTGATGGGCCTGACTGAATGCATGAGAGGCACTGTAGGGCAGGAGACCAACATCACCAGGAGGGTGTTTTGAGAAATGTGGTGAGAGAGCGTCTTTTCCTTCCAGACGTGGAGAATTAGACAGAGTGGAGTCACTGTTATGAAGCACGTCTGAGACGTTTGTTTGTGGCAGCAGCGATGAAAAGCCCTGAGACAGAAGAATCTGTGTGATATCTGTCACAGAGCTGAAGCGGTTTAGCATGACCCCATACTGCCAGGACAGAGGGTCCAGCAGTACTGCTCTGAAAGACAGAGGGGAAGACGAGAATGACGGTTTTATCTAGTGAACGGGAGAACACTGGTAAATCATTCAACATAAAATTCACCTTGCAGAGGCCCACAAGTCTCCCAGTTCTTCACTGTACTGCTGGTCAAAATGATCGAGGACTGCTGGACAGGGCTGTCTCCTTTTACCTGTGTTTCTTATCTAAAAAAAAACACCAACAAAAGACAAACAAACAATAAGAGAGAACATCCACTATAATGTTGACACTCTAGAAAAAGGTGTTCACACAAGGTGGCCTGGAAAAATGGTGGCACCGAAATACGTCTCCTTGCTACAATTCTCTTCGCACTAAGAGATGGAGATAATTTTTTTCACAAACTGTCCTCCTGTGTGTGATAGCAAAATAAACATGGGATTTGTTTCATTTTTGCTCTGGTTGCAGATAATTTGTTTTTAACAGGCTGTGAGCTATGTTCTTAAACTCATTTTGTAAATTATACATTTATTCTTTTGAGGTTAGAGTGACATGTTTTTATAATTTTTGTATTAATCTGTGTTCTTCTCAGGCAATGTATCTATCTTTCTTGTCCTTGCCTTTTCTGTTGGCACTATGCCCTTTTAAAAGATGCATTTTATAAAGACTAAACCAGAACACAGACGGTTACTGTTTTGCATTTCGGAACCAGTGCAAATCAATCTAGCCTTGATGATGTAATTTTAGAAATAGTTTACGATGAAAACACACATACGTCAGGTTTGAAGTTGATATTATACTGCTTAAATGTTTTCTTTTTTTCCAGGCTTAAAACTCGTAATACACCAGCGCCTCCTGGTGGAAACAGAGGGGATCGACACAGGTACAGAAATGCTCTAAAAAGAGAAGCTAATACATCTAAATGTACGAGTTTTAACTTAAATTTTAAAACTTCAGATCAAATATATCCCTCAGAAAGACTTGATGATTTAGCAAACTGAGTTGTGTTACATGTGCTGTCTATCTCCTTAAGCTTTTACTTTTAAAACTATTAAAATGAACACAATTGGTCAAAGCCATGCATGCAGATTACCTTGTTTTTCAGAGGTCGTTGCTGTTTGTTTTGCCATAAAGAACCATCCGGACCAGGCCGACAGGGAGAGGAAGAGAGCCACCGCAGAACTGTCCGGACTGTTCTGGGTTCCACGTAAATCTTCCTCCTCATGATGTAAACTAGCCAACCAGGAAGCACTGTTGAATTCTCGAAATGCCATGAAATTACGAAATGATCGCTTTCATTTAAATTTATTTGAGGGGAAAAAAATGGTGACCCCTGATGGGTACGTACATTAAATTCGTCCCCACAGTTTTTACAAAAGACAGTTCCGTTTGGAATTACAAAAATAATCGGACATAAGTCATCCAGTATTTTATATTAGCTCTCATTTACGTACTTTTCATAGTACAATAATTTCTTGAATTAATTCAGTGTTATCATGGATGTTCGTATTGTGCTTTTTGTGAAATTGTTGCTAAATGAAAGTGGAGCGGATCTGAGAACTGCATCTGCATGAACCGACATGGCGCTGAAAATCTACGCGCAGTATTCTGTCGTCCTGTGTCTAAATACTATTAAGTAGTTTGCTTTCAGCACAAGACGAAAAGGCAGTTTTCTTTAAGATTTTTAAAACAAAGGCAAATAAATGTTTTTGTTTTTCCTCTCGCTGACATTTTCGTGCTGAAGCCTCGTCACTAGTGACCACTATGAAGAGAACATTAGCATAATTTCCTGCCTTAAACTTTGTATTTTTATGATGTAAAGAAGGCACCTTGAACTGCCTTGTTGCTAAAACGTGCTATACAAATAAACTTGATTGATTTAAGACATGTTATTTATTTTCTATACCAAATGGCTGGAAAAACCTGTGGACATTGCTCTAATCCTTTTGCATCATCTGTATGTGTGCTGTGAACACTTCGAATCTGATGTTTGTTTGTGCACATAATCTTAGCCAATAATGCTGACCGATTCAGTCACATGAAAACCAGTAAGGAGGAGTATCTTTGGTATTCTTAATCAGGTTTAAGAAAAACACAAGAAACAAATGAAGAATTAAGTGTTTTACTTCCATTACAGGCTGCATGTTTGTTACCAAACCTTTCCATTAAATACACAGTAGTTTAGACCCATCATGACAATGATTTGAGTTTAGCAGAGAACCTCAACATCAGATTAGCAATCTTCCAATAAACACTGATAAGATTTAGACAAAATGAGCTGAAATCATCCTTCTATTCCAACTGCTGACTCTTGTTAACATTATGATGTGTCCTTGTACAGTAAGGGCCAAGGTGTTTACATGGCGAAAAGGATCAGGAATGCAACCATCAGGCAGAAGAGACCCATAGCTTCAGACAGAGCAAAGCCCAAGATGGCATAAGAGAAGAGCTGCTGCTTCAGAGACGGGTTCCTGTTGAGAAAATGAACAAAAAGCAGAAGTTAAATGTAATGAAACTACACGTTAACAACTCAGGAAATAGAATATTTCTTATGTCCGTTTTTCTTGACCAAAAAAGAGCTATTAAACGAGGAAGAAATATTTTTGCAATTCCTAATTTGTAAGACTGTACGACAGATGTCGTCACAAGGATTTGTGATCAAAGGTGGATACCAAGTACAGAAGCTTCTATCCAGAACATATGAACATTTATTTAGCTTTTATAGAAAATGTACAATTCTAAACTCACAACACAGGAAAGCTGACAAAATTTGAACCACAATAAATCAATATCGATCGACCCTTGGCCAGGAAAGTATTTGCTAAGGAGGTTAAAAACAGCCCCAGATAGGGTTTTATGAAGCATCAAAAACATCCTTAAGTCATACCTAGCATATCCAATAATAAGACTGCCGAACACCGTTCCAATACCAGCTCCAGATCCAGCCACACCAACAGTGGCAGCTCCTGCTCCGATGAACTTTGCAGCTGTGTCAATATCACGACTCACAGCACTGGTCTGGAATCCCCGCACTGCCACCTGCTGCTGGGAGGCTGCAGGACTTGGTGGTGCCAGGAGTGAGGCAGTCTGCCAGGGTTTTATAAAACAAAAGGTTATATTTACACAAAATTCCATCTAGTCTTTTTATACACTTTAGAAATGGTAAAATGTAATTTCAATGTGCCCATTTTGTTTTTGTAGTTCTAAATATACTAAAAATTGAAATTAAAAACTCAAGTGTAGAGATTGGAAAATCCTGTTTAGCATCTCGTTTAAGGTTTTGATGTGGATGAGAATTAAAGCAAACTCCCGACGATCCTGAATGTATTAAAATAAAAACTAGCATTTTATTTTGACATTTAAATAATTTGTCTTATTTAAATAACTCAAGACTAACATAAAATTAAGCAGGCTAAAAATAAGTCACACATAACAGAATTTATTCTTCGGGTTGCATGAGCCTTAGCAAAGTGGAATACAGGCATTTTGTCTGCCTCTGCTGTAAAACTCAAACCAGAGACACGCAAATAATTTCTGAACTTTAGCAAGGCTCAGGTAACTTTATATGCTAATGCAGAGGTGGCATTTGTTTCAGCTTAAGTATTTATATTACATAACTTGTAGAAAGCTAAGAGCAAACTTAATATGTTTTACATAATTCCCAAAGGAAACATGTATCCATTCCCTCATATTTAAATCTTAAATGACTAGTTATTGCATTCAAATCATTGACTGTAATGAATCATTTGTCACCAAATCTTATTCAGTATTTGATTTACTCTTCTTGCACATGAAAACAGTAAATTTTCTATGATGCATTCTCACTCCCCAAACAAAATCAATCGCCTCAAGACCATCCTCACCTCTGCTTTCCTGCTGTCAGAAACTACTGCCGCTGAGAGGGGTCTGTAAAGTGCCCGGGATCCAGCACGGACCTGTGAAGGTTGATAAAGAGTTAAAAAAAAAAAAAGCAAGCACATTGAATTGAAATTTAAATTAAAGTGTGAGTTCCTAGTGGTAAATGATCAAGGCTGTTGACTTTCCACAACTAATAGAATAGCAATATCCAAGAATAGATGAATGGAATGGCATCTTTATTTCAAGACAGATCATCAATAAATATTAACGAAAAAAGACATCAATAACCAGGTTAATATTTTTATTTCCTGTTTAATTATTTGCCTGACGTAACTTGTATTTAAATAATCTCTACGGTGTCCAATAGAGAAAAAAATAGAATTCTGTTAAATTATTGCTTTTTAAAGTAAAAAAAATAAAAACAATTTAAGATGATCGGTTTATTTTTTATTATTATTTTCCCATGTGTCTTAATGCATGATTTTAACCAAAAAGTGAAATCTATGAATGCTAAGAATGAGAAAAAAATTAAATGACACTCCACAATCCCCTTTGTTCCACTGAAAAGCTTTGTCAGATGTTGAGTTTTATTTCTTAGCTCGGTTTTATTTTCCCCAATTTTTGTTTATCTCATTTCAAATGAAAATCCCAACAATGGACTGGGTCCACAAATTAACTGCTTGGTTGCTGGAGGACATGTGTAAAATGATTAAAACTTAAAAAAAAAAAAAAAAAAAAGAAAAATGCAGCTTTGTCTTGAGTTTTCCATTTTCACCTGGCCTTAACTCATTAAATTGGCAGAAACACGTTTGTTCAATCGTCCAATTTAAATACATGTCCAAATAAATAATTGGTGATTTAATTGATCCCAGGAACAATAGCAACATCGACCAAAAGTTACTTTGGACCAAATGTTCCAACAACAAAACTTGCACCTCGAATTGGGCCTCAACTATACGTCAACCATTTGCTTTGGTTGCGTGTACATTATGTTTTACGTCGTCTGAAATCATAAACCACGGTTCCTCGTGTGGCTACAATAGACAGGTGGTGATTTGGCCTGGCTGAAACTGCTTCGTCCTTGCAGATATGAGCTCAGCTGACTTTAGCAGAGGGTCAAAGCCAGCTCGGTGGCAGGGTGTTAGCAGCGTTAGCTGCAGAGTAGCGGGTGACCGTTCTGTCCTTACAGGCAGCAAACAACACACCTGCTTTCTGACCCGCTCTGAAAAGGCGCTGTTTAGCGCTTGCAACGTTGATTAGACGCCATTCATTCAAGCGGACTCACCAGAGAGGGCGTGGAGACGAACTTAGCACAGGCATACATCACGATGTACCGTTTGGTTCAGATGAGGCAGGACAGCCAGTGGTTATTTGATGTCTGCAAATAAAACAAATGGAACCATTTCAAATCCTATTTTAGTGAGTCGGCTTCGTTTGGTGAATGATCAGACTCATCATCCGGCTTGAGCCGACGCGCAAAAAGGTCAAGCTCGGACGCAAAGACCGTACAGTGCTACAGGAAGAAGATGGTTAGTCATCCACAAGAAGAAGCACTGCAGCGGATAATACAGCTGGACAATGTCGAACAAAAAGCTTACAAAAGTCATTGAATCTCAATTTCTCAGGAAGAGGCTTAGCACTCACCGGTCTGTTGTAGAGGTCGAACAAACCAGAGGTAGGCGCATGCGCAAGTTTCGACTTGTCTTATGGGTTTTCGGTAGACAAATGGCATAAAGAGTTCACTTCTGCCGCCAACAGGTAGGCTACTAAATTACATGACTTATTTCTGTCCTCCGAGATGTCAAGAGGCACTTTGTAGAGAAAAAATAACATAACATAACATAACATGTGTCTAATAAATAAAGCACAGAATATAAATTAATGATGTATCGAATTACACAAGGGCGTTTTCTCTTGATAATTTCTCATTTTGTTATTTCAGTCGTACATAACTTGGCACACAAGCTTTGAGGAAATAGAGCAACTGCTTGTGAGTTTAGTATCTCTGTCATTTTCCATCCAGTTATTGTGTCTTTCAATAAAAAAGGGGGGTAGAGAAAATGTCATAACATCAAGAAAGCATTTGGGCGGATGCTCAAACTGTTTAACCAACTGTTTAACATTAAAAATCACCACTGCGAACTCTGAACACTAAACATACCCAATAAAGACATTGTTGCACTGAACAGCTAGAACACATATGTCGCCTGACAGCCAAATGTGGCCTTCAGGTGACATTTCTTTTTCTTTCTACCTCTGCATAAAATACCAACGTGAGTTTCAACAAAGTCTGCCACAAGATGGCAGCAACACAATATAGATTAATTTTCCAAACTGGCGCGATGTTAAAAGATCACCAGAGAGAAATGTATCAGATCCCTTTTTGTTCATTAGAATACGCAGCCTAAATTGACATACTTTGATTCCTGGCATGGATCAGTTTTGCTCTTGCAAGGTCAAGCTAGACAAGTAACAGAGACTGCAGCTGCAGGTTATACTACTGCAGCGTTTCTGTCATTTTTGAAACAGGCGGT